CGAGCGAGCACGGGCGACACGACTGCCCAGCAGTCAATATGAAACTCCATGCCTGCCCCAGCCAGCGGGCGGCTGGGGGGTTGGGATTCGGATTCGGCTGCTGGAGGGAGCTTGCAGCGCACCGGCCTCGCGTAGTCCGCGGAGCGCGCAGCCCGGGTCATGAACTCCACCCCGACCATGTCGGGGTTTATCGTGTCCTGCGGCGTCAAGGAGCATACTGGCAGCCCAAGAGCGAGGGTGGACGGACCAGGAGGGGCCATGGCTGGACAGGAGAAGCAAAGAAACAAAATAAGACGGAATGAAGGGAGGCGCCCGTCAACTGTGCACCACCAGCCCTCCTTCCCCTCCACCCTCCCGCCTCCTCTTCCTCCCTATTGCTCCTCCCCCTCCCTCGTCGGGACTCCCTGACCCGGGTCAATGCAAACCCGGGTCAGTCAGGCTTTGCAGGATCCTGCAGAATCTTGCAGGATCCTGCGCCCAGACCCGGGGCAGTGCGACCCTGGCCCTGCAGCATCCTGCAAGATCCGGCTCTCTGCCTGACCCCCGCTTGCATCGACCCCCGCCTCGTGAGCTCCGACTCCTCGCCCTCCTCCCTCCACGCCGCCCGGACCCCTGGCTCCGGCCTGGTGGCCGCAGCGTCCTCCCCCGCGCGTGCCACCAGAAACCAGTCGCTCTCCTCGCCTCTGTCCTCCGAGGCCCCTCAGAGCCCAGGCCGTGGAGAGAGGCCGCGTCCGCCCGGCGGAGCGGTCGGGGTCACCCTCCTCCTCACCCATCCTCCCTCCCCCTGCCTCCCCATCCGGCTCCTCCCATTCCGCTCCTTGGCCTCAGAAACAACCCCTCCCCTCCCTGTCGAACCCCGCAAGGTGTCGGCAGTGTTTGGCCAGGCGTGTCGCCTGAGACTTCCTCGCCACTGATACTGCTGAAGCCGATCGCAACACCTTCACGGATGGAAGGAGGGCGGTTTTAGAAATGTGTCTCTCGCCCTAGATTCGCGGACGCTCGTCTTCAAAGTTTGCAGCAGCCTCACGGGTGGAGGGGGTCCTGTTCAAGATGTGGCTCTCGCCTGAGCGCCGCGCACATTCGTCTCAAAAGCTTGCAACAGCTCCAAGGACGGAGGGGGTCGTTTTCGAAATGGAGCTCTCGCCTGAGCACCGCGCAAGTTCGCGGCAGCTTCAAGGACGAAGGCGTCCCTTTTCAAAATTGGGTTCTCGCCTTAGCGCTGCGCAGATTCGCCGCACAACATTGCAACAGATCCCCCCCTGGTGGACAGCGATTGCTTCACAATTACGCTCTGGCCTGAGCGACACGCACATTCGTCTTAAAAGCTCGGAACAGTTACAGCGATTGCTGCGGCTCCTTTTCAAAATTGGGCATTCGCTGAAGAATTCTCGAATTAAAAACCAGAAAATTGGGCAAATGCAACAGCTGCACGGATAAATGATGTCTCCTGTTCAACGTTGGGTCTTCGCTGGAGACTTCTGTGAGCTTGAAGACCCGAAATTTAAAAACTTAATACCGCTGCACGCTTGAGGCTTCCTCGAGGCTCACGGTTTAGAAGTGAACCTTTGTGCAAGAATTATTCCGGAAGGGTGGCGGTCCTCAAAACGGGAATATCCCTCGAAATCTCGCTGAACTGTACGATCAGACCTTCGCTGTAGGATACAGGGCAGCTCGTTCCTGTTCAAAACGGAGCTCTCGCCTCAACGGCAGACCCATAGGGTGCTAGTATTGAAAGGGGGGTGGAAGGGAAGGCTTGTACGGGACTGATGAGGCGGGGACTGCGACGGCAGGTTTATGGCAGCATCGCTTATGCATGTTTGGTTTTATCAAAGTCCTCCGCCTCCTCCTCTTCCTCCTCCTCCTCCTTCTTCTCCTCAATTGCCTTCTCCTCCTCACCCTCCTCCTCATCCCATCCCCCTGCTCGTCCTCACGCACTTCCTCCCCCCCCCCCGTCCTCACCCTTCCTTATCCTCCCCCTCTCTCCCCCTTCCCCACCCCACCTCCTCCCCCTCCTCATCCTCCTGACCCTATTCCCCCTCCTCTTCCTCCTCGTTCTCCTCCCCCTCCTCGTCACCTTCTTCATCCCTCGTCCTCCTCCTCCTCGCCATCAACCTCCTCAAACTCATCATCGTGCACATCAGGAGCAGGAGAAGGGAGGAGAAGGAGGAGGAGGAAGAGGAGGAAAAGGAGGAGGAGGAAGAGGAGGAGGAGGGAGGGAGGGAGGGAGGGAGGGAGGGAGAAGGGAGGGAGGCACTAAGAGGATAGCGGGAAAGAGGGACGACGACGACGCCGACGCCGACGCCGACGCCGACGCCGACGCCGACACCGACGCCGACGACGACGACGACGACGACGACGGCGACGGCGACGGCGACGGCGACGGCGACGGCGACGGCGACGGTCCTCCTGCGGCTCGGCGGCCGCCCCCAGCGAGCTCCGGATGACGTGCGACAGCCTGGCGACCGCCAAGGTCGACGTCCTCAGCGCGCGTCGTCTGAGGAGACCCCAGGGCACGGGGGCTGCGGAGGCAGAGGGGAGCTCGAGATTGGACGCCCACCTCCTCCCGTTCCACCATCTCTCCACCTCCACCTTTCTCCTCCTCCTCCTCCTCCTCCACCTCCACCTTCCTCCTCCTCCTCCTCCTCCTCCTCCTCCTCCTCCTCCTCCTCCTCCTCCATTTGCGCTTATTCCCCGCCCGACTTCAGCCATGGCCCCGCTTGGGAAAAGCATCCTCCAGGGGCCTCGGCCCTCGGCCCTCGGCACCCGTCCCCTCTCGCGCTCCTCTCGCCCGGTTGACCCCCCCCCCAGGGTAAGCCCGCGCCCGGGGCCGCGGCGATGCTCTACAGCTGCGACGACGTCGACGACGCCGACGCCGAAGAGGCAGACGCCGAGACCGACGACGACGACGATGACGACGACGCTGACGACGACGACGACGACGACGACGACGACGACGACGACGACGACGACACAACCGCCACCGCCGAAACCGCCACCGACGCCAACGCTGACGACGACGACGACGACGACGACGACGACGACGACGACGTCGGCGGCGGCGAAGGCGAAGACGAACACCCAGACGCTGACGATGGCGTTCACGAGACTCCAAGTGGAGCCGGGCAGCCCCCCGATCCTGGTAGGACAAGGTCTGGGGAAGAGTCCTGGTGTTTTCTCTACTCTCAGAAGCGGGCGCCTTCTCAGAAGGCCGCCACCTCGCCCAGCTTCTTCGCACGCCGCGGTCTGGTTGTGGCCTGGACCCGAAGAGGCAGGCTTCCTTCCGGAGCAGTCTCGCAGGTCCTGGGGCCCGCAGAGAGGCTCCTTTTGCCTTCGGCCTAGAGCGGGGGGGAACACAAAGACGGCCGTCGCCGACCTTTCCCCAGGGGTCGTCTTGCGTCCCAGGCCAATTATTGATGGCCCCGGGGCCCGAGTATGGGGCCCGGAGGCCGAAATCTGAGGAAAACAGCAGGACCGAAACGATCAGGTCCTCAGAGACCTGCTTTCTGAGAGGCGGGGGAAGAAGGACAGCCACTTCGAGCCCTCTGCCCCAAGACGCCCATGACTGCCCACGCAGCACCTCGAAGAAACCACCACTACCCATCATCGCCGCAGTGGCAACGAACACGCGGGCAAACGCCAGCGACGGAACAGTCTGGGCCGGCGGAATGCGCGCAGCGATCTGCCGCCCCACCGGGCACAGAGCGTGAGATCCCCGCCGCACAGTCTGCAAGGACTGTGTCCCCTCAGTAGTCTTACCCACGCGCTCCCCGTACTCAACTCATACGGTAGGTTCGCGCGGCGTCGGCGTGCGCAGAGATTCTCGACACCGCATCGACCATTCAATCTTGAATCGATCGCGGCCCCGATCGTTCAAGTTTGAATTCAGTCGAGTCCTGTGGCGTTACCGTGCCCATCGATGCATCCAGGTCGCAAGAGTTCAACCTTGAACACCTTCGCCGGCGTCGCCAGCGCGCCAACGCCGCATGAACCTGCCGTATCTTCCCAATGAGCCCTCGCAACCCCTCTCGGGGACCACCCCGTGGCCTGCTCATTCCGCCGGCCCGGGGCCCAGGCTGCACAACGCCTCCAGGCGCCGTTCGGGACCTCTCCAGAGGCCCTCCTGGGCACTCTTTGAAGCCGATTGGGGCCCTCTTGGGCTCATGTGGCCCGTCCCCGGGGCCCTCTGGAGCTGTCTCGGGCCCGTCCGGAGCCCTGTTCGACTCATGTTTTTTTTTGTGTCCGCAAGGTCTGTCGTTCGCCATAGCTGTGTGCATAGATTGTGCCGCGCTGCGGCAAAGGTGAAAGCGCAGGAATGTCGTGAACCGATCGGTTTCACGGTCAGCAACGGCCAACAGATACGCCAAGGCTGCGGGCATACCGCGTAAGGAATCGAAGGGCCCTTAGATTGTCAGGACGCTGGGGAAAATGCCCGCCGCGCCGCGACGAGAGCGCTTCTTCGAAATGGGCAAGCACAATGGTCCGGCAAAGCACACACATAGCGGGATCATGGGCCATGGAATTCTCCTTTCCTCCTGATCATCCTCATCCCCATAACCACAAATACCACAAGAGGCAACGCCTAGAATGGAAAGAAGGGAGGCGGGAGTGGGAAGGCCAAACAACGGCAAAGCGCTAGGCCACTTCGGTTGGCCGCTCATACACGGACCCTTTCCGGCCCGAAGCGAGGAGCGCGCGCTCGATATCAGCACCACTTTGCGTGGATATTCCTACTGGCCTGCCTCGACGACCGAGAATGCCTGGGGAGCTCGGCAAGGCAGAAATCGAAAATTGCCTCAACCCCTGGCGCAAATCAAAAGAAGGGCCACAACGATAAGGCGTCCAGCATCCTCACGTTTAAACCCACCGCTACAAACCGTCGCTGTCTTAGACGCTGGTGACGCGTCAACGAAGACCAGCCAGTGACGATCTCTCGGAAAGAAACACCCACCCCCATCGCCGCACGCTCCCATGATCGTTTTCGTTTTGTTCGCGTGTTCCTTCGCTTTTGTCTCGAGTCCGCCTCAACCGCAAAACGAAGTCGAAACGAAAAGGGCCCAAGAAATCGCAAAAAAACACCGTTTAGGCGCGCCGCCGAAGCCTCAGCCCGTGGCCTCCGCCTGCCGCGGGGGCTCCCCGGCCGCGGCCTCGGCGCGGCCGGGCACTGCGGTCGCCGAGGGACCGACGGCGGACAGCAGCACGGGCATCAGGAGGAGACCGTGGGTGCCCCCGACCGCGAGGATGAGCACGAGCATGTTGAAGAAGACGCGGAAGATCTTGCTCGAGCCCAGCGACAGCGGCAGGACGCCGACGAGGGTAGACAGTAGCCCCTTGGACACGGATACGCCGATCGACTTCATAGCCAGCACCACACGCTCATCGCGTGACAATTGTGGGTGTTGCGCCATAAAGCTGTGAGCAACGTGCATGCTATAATCCACCACCAGGCCGACGGCCATGACCAAGTTGATCATCGATATCGAGTTCAGGGGCTGGCCGATCAGTGGCAAGCAGCCGAGCAAGTCGATGTACACCAGTGTGATCACTCCAGACACAATCAACACGACCAACGGATGCGATAAGACAAACAAGGAAACGACGCTGACAGCTATAAAGCACATGAGAGTGGCCCAAAAAGTCTCTGAGAGAATATTCCGATACTGATCGTAGAAAACCCACGGGTGCGCGTGCGCTATGGTGCCTGGCAAGACTGCCTGCTTCCCACGGTAGAAGGCCTCTGCTTCCGTCAGCGCCTCCACCTGCATGCGCGACTCTGACATCGTCACCTGTATCACCACGATGCGGGAATGCCGGACCTCCCCGTCCTCGAAGACTACGTCGTTCCGGAAGCGCTGGCCCAGGCTTAGGTCGTCGTCGTCCAGCCAGCTGCTCAGCGCGGTGTAGAAGCCCGGCCCGGCGAGGAACCTGTGGCCCTCCACGCTTTGGAACTGGTCGGTGGCCAGGTCGGCGCGGGTGCCTTCGTTGGCCAGGGCCCACTCCGTGAAGCTCCGGTGCCAGCTGTGGGGGGCCACGGCCGAGTCGATTGCCCGCAGCTGCAGGGCCTCGTCCTCGGTCCTGCGCATCTCCCTCTGCACGACGGCGTCGCTTTCGTCGACATCCCTGAAGACGACGTGGACGGGGATGTTCAGGGCGCTGGTATCGGCGCCCCAGTACTTCTCCTCTACAGCAAAGTAGTCGCGCACGTAGCTCGAGTCGGGCGAGAGGTCACTGATGTCAAAGGCGGTGTCCATATTTTCCAGCGCCTGCCAGAGGCAGGCCCCACCGAGTGCTAGAATTCCGGAAACTACTGCCAGCTTCACGAGCCAATTGCGAGTAATCGCTCGGGCATACATCTCCATGACGCGTACAGCAAAGGGTTCGTCGCCATCCTCCAGCAGAGCGCCAGGTGTCCGATTGGTTCTTACGCAGCACACCACGTCCATGCGGCTTGACTGCTGCCGGTGAGCATCAAGCGCCAGCAATGAGCAGAATGCTGTGAGTTGCAATACGTAGGTATACATCAACGACGATGCCGCGCACAAGCAGAAGTAGACAACAGCAGGGTATGAGCTAGTGGCACCGCACAAGAAGGCCAATACATCGGTGGCAGACGTCATGGTAACAGACATACCCTCTAGCATCATTGCATCCCTGATCCGCTCCTCGATCGACTTACTCTTGGCAGTACGGTCGAAGGCGCCCACGATGACGAAGGCGTTGTCCACACCGATACCCACCAGGATGAACGGCAAGATGAGCTGCAGACTGGTGAACGGAATGCCCACCGCAGAAGCCAGTCCGTAGCCACCGAGGGTGCCGAACACCACAACGAAAAAGCTGCTTATGCCGAGCACACGGCGGCCTTGTACGCAGCGCAGCGGATGCCCGAGCGCGAATGCGGCCGTCGTCACGAGGAAGACGAAACCCAAGCTCACAAAGCTTAGATCACCTCCGACGACCCTGGCGAGCTCGTCGTCCACGCTGCGCGCTGCACTGAACAGTTCCACGTGGATGTGGTCCCACTTCTGCTCTACGTGCTCGTAGCTGCTGCTGACATATTCGTCGATGACTGTCTTCTCCCATTGGAGCGTGGTGTCCTTCCCCAAGTGCTGACTCAACACGAACCCCATTCGCCAGACTGGCGCGGAGACCAGCTCCGAGCCCGAAACCTGAAAAGCCCCGAATACGCTGGAGCGCACGACTGGCGCACCGTCAAGAGGATATGTGGGGCTGGACAGCACGGTGAGCAACTGGCTGTCAGTCAACGACTGTGACTGGAATAAGGTTGCGTTGTTTTCAAAAAAAGAAAGCACGCCGTGAGTGTTACACACGCCACTGGGCGTACGATAACACAGGTCTTCATATGCAAGACCGTCTTCCGTCTTGATGGACCTGACCTCCTCAAAGAGCTCGAAGGCCTCGCTCACCGCGTCGACGGTCAGAACATTATGACCCCTGTTCTTTGCTTCGATCAAAAAGACTGTGGGCATCCCTCCACTGGCGAAATTGGCCTCGATCCACTTTCTGTTGAGCATGGCATCGCTGTCCTGGTCCACCCACAAGTTCGTGGCTTTGACCTCTAGCCTGAGTCGCAGAAGGCCCAGCCCGCTCAGCAGCGAAAGCGCTAAGCAGACAGACACGGTGGCGCACGGGCGCCGCGCGCTGAAAAAGGCCACAAGACTGAGGCCCTGGCTCACCCGGCCGTGTAGCCTCGCCGTCGACTCGAGCCAGCAGCGGAAGGTATGCATGCCACCCATCGCTGCGGTGGGTGCCGCCGAGAATTGCCCCGCTGGCACTCCGGCACCCATTCAGCTCTGATGCTTGAGCCACGACGGCTTGAGCCAATATGGCTACGGAGAGCCCTGTTCGACTCATGTTGAGCCGAAAACCCGAGGATGCCAAAAAACGTCAAAGACCCGAGGAGTTTTGATGATCTCCTCCTTTTCGAACGTCTCTTTACGCCTCTTGGAGCTCTCGCGGAGCCTCTAGTGGCACTCTTGGGTCTCTCTGGCCACGTTGGAATATCTCCAAAGCTTAGGCCCCAGACCAACTCGCGCAGCTCGCTTTTACCTCTTCATATCCCTCTTCGGTTTCGTCCGCCGTTTTCGGCACTTTTGGGTGCCCGTTGGCGGAGGCCCTCTCAGGACAGCTCTTGGCGCTTTGGGGGGGGGGCCTCTGGGGCCGTCTCGGAGAGATGGGCCGGAGGGAAGGCCGCCGCTCCTGGGAGGCGGCCGGGGAGCCTGAACTTGCTGGGATCCCAGAGAATCTGTCAGAATGGAAGCAGCAATCACGACCAGCGCAACAATTGAATCAGAGTACTTTTTGTTCCTCGATTCGCCGATGCTATCGTGATCAGTCTCTCTCAGACAAGGCCTGCAAGCGATGCTCTGGACGGTTCGGTCTCACACTCCTGCTGCTGGGATCCCAGAAAGGTCTGGAGGGAATGAAGCCAACAATCCGCTCAAAATCGGTCCGTGGACACCTCCCGGGATCCATCTGGCGCAGTGTTTCACCCCGGATCCGTGTTTCACGGCCCCGGGGCCCGAAAACGGCCCCTGGATCGACGACTCTGGAGGGTGTGGTTTGCAAAAGGCGTGGCTTACAGTTGGCACCCTGGGGGACACACTGGGGGGCTGGCGGGGACCTCGATCGAGTTCTCTGCCGCGCCCCGAGGAGGCCCGACGAGGACAGCGTCGTGCCCCCAGGCCCCAACGGCGCCGATCGCAAACCCCACCCCGGCGTAACCACACCCTTTGCAGTCGCCGACTGGAGGCCGAGAACAAAAAAAAGCCTTCTCGAGACCGAGCCCGCCCCCCAGCCCTGCTCGCCAGGAGCACCTGGGCCACCTCGGACCCCGGCCAGCTCCACCCCTGAGGTCGGGCGTATCCTCCCACAGGCGGATTCTGGGCGAAAAATGACAAATAGGCACAAACAAATATTCAGAAATTGGCAATCAAAACAATCGAAAAGCCGTCCCGAGACTCGTTTCAAAACTATGCTTTACTGTTCCTCCTGTGGGGGACATGCCCGACTCAGCACCGCCCCCCACCGCCTCGCCCCCGCGCGTCTCCTGGCCGAGGGGGCCGGGGCGCGGCTGAAGTAGCCGCTGCTGCGCGCGGGCTCGGAGGTGTCGCTGCCGCTGGCCGCGGGGGGCGAGCCTCGCAGCGGGGGGCGGCGGGGGAGCTCTCCGCTCCCGACGGGCGGGGAGGGGCCGGGCGTGCGGAGGGACAACGGCAGGAGAGTGCGTTTTGATCCTTCGCGGCCGCTGCCGCTACCGACCCCGGTGCGGGAGCGGCCAAGAGGGGGGTGTCCACGAGGGGGCGGTGCAGATCACGACCGGCGGCATGTGCGCGGCCCAGCGGGGGGGCCAGGGACGTCATGAGACAAGAAGAGGCGCCATGAAATCGGGGGAAATCTCATGGCCCACGCCATGATATCCACCCCCCCCCTAGTCATCACCCCCCTCTCTTCCGCCCCCGACCGACAGCGGCCGTTACCGGCCCCGGCCGCCCCGCCCCTCCACGAACCGGAGCTGCCGCCACCAGAAAAACACCTCTTCTTTGATCGATTTCCTCCAAGATGGCCCCAAGAAGCGCCCAGGAGGCACCAAGAGGCCCCAAGATGGCCCCAAGAGGCCCCAAGAGGCCCCCAGGAGGCCCCAAAGAGGATCCCGAACGGCCCACAGAGGCCCCCCCGAGGCACCCAAGACGCCGAAAAGCCCCTCAGGACGACCCTCTACTCGCCTGGGCGTCGTTTCTGGACGGGCTGGTGGGGATACGCGAAGCGTCTAGAGTTGATTCCCATCCATATTTGGGGCTTGGGGACCGAATCACTGACCGGTTCCCCTTAATTGGGGTCCTGGCTATACCCGACTGACTACCCTGAGATCCTGGCGTCGCAATTGTTTCACAACGGGCATGTTCGCCCAATTTTAGGCCCCAAGGCCCTCACAGGTCGATCCGGCTCGGAAAATGCCGCAGAAAGATGGGGTCTGGGGCTCCAGTGGTGCTTTTTTGCGATATTGCATGTTTGTTGCAACGTCGGACCTCCAGGTAGGATAGAAGCACATCCTTCAAGAGCATGAGACCCTCCGCTGGCCAAACAGCACTCCCAACCACAAACTCACTCGAGGAAGACCCTCTCCCAAGATACACAAGAGCATCCAACAAACACGGAGAACATCAGTAGAGGCCTCCTAGACAGGGTCGGAGAAGATAGGGTCGGAGGATCGCGCCGCATCGCCGATGCATCGGCGATGCATTGGCGATGCATCGGGGATGCACAGGCGACGCATCGTCGACGTCGGCGACGTATCGGCACCGTGAACGTGACCTCCGACACCATCTACTCGGACCCCACTTGGGAGGCCTAGACAAGATCACTCGAGGAGTACCTTCCCCCGGGATGCACAAGAGCGTCCAACAAGCACGGAGAACACCGAGGAGTACCCCCCCCGAACCGACCTCGAGCTTACACATCGATCCGACCGAAGGGGGGGCCTCGGGCTCGGGGCAGGCGAGCCCAGAATCGAATCGACACGTCGGATCGGCGATCGAAATGAACCGGATCGGCGGAGAGCGGCAGCCGAGCCGGGAGAAGTCGAATCGGCAGAAATCGGCAGGCTCGTAGGCCTCCAGTGAGAGATCGGAGCCCAAATCAAAATCCGACATCAAACCGAATCGGAATCGGAGGCCATCGAAATCGAATCGAACCGAATCGGCGGCGTCGAAGTGAGCCCTGTTGGGGGGGCCCCGGCGTCGACCCCCCCGGGGCGCCCCTCCTGGGGCGCGTGCCGGGCAGGGCTCCGAGGGGAGCCCGGCCGAGGCGCCCAGAGAGCCCCGGGGAGGCCCCAAAAGGCCCCAGGCCGAAGCCCGCGCGCGCGGCCGCCCTCGAAGCTCCCCTCGAAGGTTCGAGCCGCCTCCTCGGCGGCAACCCTGGGAGCCTCCCGCATCATCCTGCTGGCTCTTGCGAATCGACGCTCACCGACGCCAAAGCGACGCGAATAATCGACGCTCGTCGACGTGAGATCGACGCGAAATCGACGCAGGGCGCGCACTCGAAACATGGAATTGCGAGGGCGCGCAGGGGCCCCATGACTTGCGGCCAGGCGCCTCCGTTCGGCGGCGAGCGAAGGGGAGAGGCAAGGAAGAGGAAGCCTTGTGCTAGAAGGCGGCGGGACTTTTCAAAGCCCTCGCGCCTTCTGAAGAGTGTTCTGTTTCGGAGAAAGCCCAGAAAACTTCTCTGAAGGCCAAGGGACTCCCGAGCCTTCTGGGAAGGCCTTTTCCTTCTCACATTCCCCCCCTCGCCCGAAGCCGATCCATGCCCACAAGTCCTCCAACCTGTCTTCGGTCGTTGCTTGGCTCCAGAGGTCCCGCCCCCCCCCCCCCCGGGGGTAATTTGTTGTTTGTCCCAAATCCGTTTCTGTTGGCCCCGTGGCTCGATAACGGGCAGTGGGAGCCAAAGTCCATGAAGAGCATTCGGATATAGAAACCCAAAAAAAACATCCTCGGGGATCTGGGTGGGCTCCATCGAGTTTGGACGCCCGCAGTAGGCACAGACAGCATGGGAACGACGCAAAACGGCCTGTCCCAAACAGCGGCCGCTGCTTGGTAGGCGGCCTTCCGTCTCGCATGGACAGCATCTGCGGCGACGCCGACAGCGAGTCCTGCCCAGAATGAAGAAATACAATCCGTCGTCATACCCATTTTTTCGCACCCGCTTCGCTCGCACCGATTTGGATTCGACAAGCTCGTTCCACTTCTCGCAAAGTAACTACTCGCAAATGACCTGGATCCGCCGCGGGGGATCGACGATCCATTACCTCGAAACACCACCTCAACTGAGCCACGCATCCGGCAGGACACGCGGTCGGAAGAGCGCGCGATTGGCAACTTTTAGGATGAATCGCTAACCCGCGAGAGAGCAGCTATCCCACGAAATGGGATTGATCATTCAGCGCTCCTACTGCTGGCGCAGCTGAAACGGATACGTCGGGACCCGACCAAACTCTCCATTAGTCCCCCACAGGTCCTGGAAGACTCGTCGAACTCTCACATGTATCCAGGGGTGCGAGAAGAGGACGACACATGAAGAGGTGGAATAAAAGGAGAGAAAAAGGGGAGGCCCCAAGGGTACTGCGTGAACTCGCACACCTGGAAGGCCCATTGCTGTCGCGGTCATCCGCGCCAACGGCGCTCCACCAAGGTCCACTGGAAGCAAATCTGATACATTACTTCCGTTGACGTTATGACGGTATGGTGCCAGCTAGTTCCAAAACGTCTGATGAGTGGAACGCCCACAATGCGGCACAGGCAGCGGCAGCGCAGTGGAACGCGTCGAGCCTCCATGTGATAGGCTTCAACAGTCACAAGGAGTCGAGCGAGTACAATACCTTGCTTAACCCCACACTATCCACCACTTTGAATATCCGCCTCCATCCAGCAGCGGTGCGCGACCCAATCTGAACAAGCGTGTTGAAAATGCGATTCGTTTCCCCTCATCGCCTGTTGATGTCGGTCTTTGCCTTACCGTCGTAAGGAGGCATACCGCCCAAATACATAGTCTCCCGCACAATCTTGACTGCACCCCCATCAGGCCGAACAACGACGGCATTGGTTGAGATATGCATAAGTAGTGTCTTGTCCCGGTGCAGCTCCAGGCCAGACTTACAGCCCACTCAAAAATCGCGTGCAACACGTTCTAAATGGTTGCGATGCTCTGCGAAGCCAGTAGTGTACCACCGGCATAAAAGACGTCGCGCGTCACCACGTCGGCGGGCTCTGTTTCGCAATTGGTGGAACCAAAAGCGTCGTGAAGCATAACCGTTTACACAACAATAAATAAGTATGGGGATAA